GGATTCGTTCTTCTTGTTCGCTATTGATGAACAAGTACGGTGGATTCTCGGAGGTGACTGTCGTGGGCGTAGCCCCGGCCTCCTATTTTATTCCCATTTTCTCCGATTTATTCCATGTTTATACGACCCTCCAAACGTCGTCGGCGCATTGGCGCCAGTTTACAAGTCCTAGCCGCGCGCTAACACCTTGAGAACGCATCACCGACGAGCACGCATCAGCGCATCAGACGCGCCTGTATCGCCACCGCATCACGCTTCCTCGGTAACAGCCACACTCCGATCTCCACCGGACATCCGATCTCCGTTGGCCCGACAATGTCATACGCCATGACACGCCGGCCCCGTTTATCTCCGAGTCCGATTGGCAACGAACATCCTATCCCCGTCGGCCCGACAAACGTCATACGCTATGACACACCGGCCCTCGCCTCTTCGCCAAAGTCCCCTAGACACTAGCAGCCGCCGTAGCACAGTCGCTTATGTAACGCCTGGTCCATGTGCAGCCTGACTAGTATATAAGAATCCCCTTCGTCACTACCTAGCCCCATCTCAACCTCTTGGTTTATTGGGCTAGGTAAGCCTTTGTCTATACTTTAGAATAGTCACTAATACACTTGGTTTATTGGGCTAGCTGAACAAGCTAACGCATAGTCGCCAGACCTCGTCGGCGCCGCCTTCTGATTAGATCCACGCAGTATCCCTCGTGGTGTGTTGACGCAAGTCCACATCATTAGGTTGAGATCTTCGTGCACCCGGACTACTACCCCCTATCCAGTGCCCTGTGCACAGTTTTAAAAAAGTTTATTCCTACCGTTTGAAGAGTAAGTCTCTTCGGCGATTGGTGGCAGACTTACGCGCACAGCGCTAATCCCTGGATAAAACCAGTGCCGAAGGATTTGCCCGACCGCCCCCGCGCTTTCAAACGCCTTGCAGACGAGCGTCACCCCCGCCTCCGCTACGCCCTGCCCGAAGCCGTATTCGATCAACTACGTCGAGAACGCGAAGCAGGCGCCCCTCACCAATACACTACAAACGAGCTCCGAGCCGTTGTCAAGCACGTCTCCATGCTCCCGCCCCCATCCACCTCGCTCCCGACCATCGACTGGGACGCCGTCGAGCAAGCTAAGCTCGCCGCGCATGACAATCGCCAGCACTTCCAGGCTCAGCGAGACCAAGCCTGCGCCCGACAGAACGCGCACGCAAGCTCGTCGTCCAGCCGCCCTCTAGCGGACCGCATCACAGCTGCCCCCACCTACACACCCATCACCCCGAAGCCCGTCACCATCAACTTCTCCCGCTACACCGCTGCCAACCTCGCCCGCATCTTCGCTCCGAAGTTTGCCGCCACTCTCAAGCGCTTCAACGTCCTCAAAACGCTCGACTGCCCCGACGTTCTCACCGACGACATTAACACCATCTTCAAACTACGCGATCGCCTCGCCCACCTTGACCGCACTCTCAAGGACGTCTCGCGCGTCATCAGTGTCGAGGAGTGGAACCGCTGGGATTCAGGATTGAAACAGATCGGCGGGATCTCGTTCAAAGGACTGCGGCGAAACCGAGTCCAAGTTTTTAAAGCACTGCGTGCGGTTTGGGTTAACGGGTATTTTGATTAGTAAAACTGGACGAGTATATAGTTTTTGAATGCATAGACTACGACGAGAAGAGAATCCTCGACCTGTATATACTAGATTACGCACTCGACCACCTCGTCGAGTTAGAACTAGTACAATTATTCCAAGAACTCCCTTTCCATTTTCTATAAACCCATTCTCAGTCCTTTCGGACAAATCAGAAACAGTGGCAGACACTCGCCTAGTTTGCGCGGCCTTCGCTCACGTCTTCAACTTCGAAGAAGCACGAGACTACTATCTAGATGACAAAAGGGAATTAAACACCTGCTCCAATTACCTCTGTCCAAATCGATATTACGAACATCTCACACGACCAGTCACCTCCGAGAATCCACCATACCTGTTCATCAATAGCGAACAAGAAGGACGAATTCGTGAACGGTATCACTTGGAAGAACCTGTCGCAGAAGCAATGGACGTTCCCCCCCCGGCACCGCAACCCACCATGCAGGACGTGATGAACCTCATAGTTACACTCATCCAAAACGTCAACAACCTCACGACCACCGTAAACCAGTTTGTAGCACATGCGCGCCAACCGGCCGCAACAGTTTCTTCTACCCAGTCCCGGTCCTTCGTCGAGAAACCAACCACCTTCGACGGCAAATCGTCTGAAAAAGCCAGGCTGTTCCGAAGCGCGTTCCGTGTATACGTCCGAGGAAACAAAGAGATATTTGCTTCGCGAAACGCTCAAGATGCCATGATCCTCGACCACGCTGGTAACTGGATAATGGACCCGCTCAAAATGATCACCGGCATCCTCTCCTTCATGACGGACGAAGCGGCAGTCTGGGCACGTCCTCACATTGACGAACTCTCCGACGGGCGTACTCCATTCAACGCCGATTGGGACGAGTTTGTCAAACAGTTTTCGGCTAAATTCGAACCCGTCGACGCAAAGAACGAGGCTAAACAAAAGCTTATGTCGATCAAGCAAGGCAATAGGACATTCGCGGACTACCTCTCTGACTTCGAGACTTACTCTCGTCGTACCGGCTGGTCAGATAATGACCTCTACGATCGTCTCAAGTCCGGGATGAACTCGGATTACCTCAATAGGCTGTCCTACTTTGCCCCCCTGGCCACAGACTACAATCTGGTAAAAGGTTACGGAGCGACGATCGACCTGCAGAAAGCAGACTTGGCGGCCAATCAAGGCAAACCAGTCTCGCAGCCTCGGTCATCCACAACACGCTCTTCTGGCTTCCGCGACCCGAATGCTATGGATATCGACGCTATGGAGATCTCCGCCTCACGCTTCGACGATCTCTTCCAGGGTCTCAAGGACCCCGTGGAAATCAAAAAACAGTACAACAAGCTCATGGTCGGTCGTTGTCGCGTATGCGGTTCCAAAGGTCACAAGGCAGATGGCACACATGAAGATACCAAATGCCAACATTGCGGTAAACCCGGTCACTGGAAAAAGCTCTGCCTGTCAAGACTGAACGGACAACCACCGAAGTCGCAATCAGTCCGAGCTTCATCGTCGACAAGTCCCTCGACATCTGCATCCATCTCCGCGTTGCAAGACTCAGCTGCCGATGTAGCTAGTCTCAAGGACATGATGTTTCTGATGCAAAAACAACAAGCCGAGCTAATGGCAAAGCTTAGCCAGGGTTTTTAGCAAGGGCCCAGACTAGAGCTGCAGCTCTGGTGCCCAGTTTAGACGAGCGGCCTTCAACAGCGCCGGCTCCTGTATATTCAGACTCTGATCCCTCGGACCATATCTCGTCATGCACCGTATCGTCAATAGATCACCTCTCGTCTCACTTTCGCGTATTTGTAACAATATCAGGAATAAATAAATCTCTACGCACACCTGCTATGACAGATTCTGGTGCCACTGGGTACTTCCTGCATGAAAAATTCGCACGAGAGAATAACATCTATAAACGACCACTCAAACGACAGATTGGTCTCCGAAACATTGACAGATCAACCAACAGCGCTGGTGCAATCACACACTATGCTAAACTCAAAGTCAAAATTGGATCACGAGCTCCCGAAGAATACGACTTCTTCATCACAGAC